GTTTGGAGAGGCTGGGCAGGAAAAAGGATTAAGACATTCCGAATTAGTGACTAGGTGAAAGCACAGGGCAGGGGAAATTTATCAGGTTGCTTCAGTTATCCGCAAATGTACAATTAGAAAACATAGGGGTAAATCTGATTTCTAAGATACTGAAGTAAGAAAACAAAACAAAACCAAAAAAACCTGTCTATCTCTTCCCCATCTCAAAGGTTCCTCCAGATTTTGTGAGTTGAGGGATTGACAGAAATAAAGTACAAGAAACAATTCAATCAAAATCTATTCATCATCAGATTTTTAGTGTCGTTTTAATTTCATTGTTGCTTTAAAAAAAAGTGGGATAGTAGAAAATAAGCATTGTTTTTGTAATCAGAAGACCTGAATTCAGGGTGAGTCCCCAAATCTCAAAGACACTAATGGGTGACCTGAGGCAAGTTATTTCATCTCTGCAAGCTTCAGTTTGTCATCTGCAAAAAAGATACTTTCACAACCAATCTCACAGGATTGTCATGAGGAAAAAGCTTTGTAAACCTTAAAATGCCAAAGAAATAATAACAAAAGGTAATTCTAGAGATAAATACGATACATTATGGTATTTGAAATTGGAAAATTTAGGTTACATTCTCTTCATAGAATGATAATCTGTGATGTACCAAACGATGAGTACGTAAGTGAAAGAATAACTATCTACATAATTGAGGAATAATATCAATTTGACTTTTTTTGGGCATCTCTAGTGCCTAGCACAGTGCTTGGCACCTGGTAAGCACTTAATAAATGCTTGTTGACTAACTTAAAAAAAAACTCCAATTAACAAAGAACAATTGATCATTTTTATTAAAACACTAACTGAAAAGTTACTAGGTGACATAGTTTTCTGAAATGACCCAAGGGTATTTATTTAAATGCATAAAACTTAGGGCATAATTCATTAAAGAACATCTTTGTTTCCACTAGAACATAGTGGAAGACTCTAGGATCAGCTCAGTGCCACCTAAAATGATAACCCTTTAAGAAGACTTAAAATTCACTGAAACAATTTGTATATCTTCTATAGAAACCTTGTGTTCACCTGTGGAGCTCCTTCTCATGAGAGGAAACTGGGAAGTATTGGCACATGGTCTATACTATCTCAAGCTCCCTCCTACCTAATTACTAATAACACCCCCCCAAAAAATAGCCACCCTTCCTTCTACAATATACAAGATGGCTAATGGTCCTCTCTTTGGTGACAAATCTCTGTTAACTACATAGCCCCACACTAAAGCATCCTGAGTAAGGTGAAGAGAGATGATCCAAGAGGGAGGGGGAAAAAATGGGCGACATGTTGGAGAAGGAAATTATGCACAAGTTCACCTGCCGTTGTCACGATCAAGACATGGAGATGAGCGGCTGCAACAGAATAGATACTTTAGCACAGAGAAGGAATGGATAAAGTGAAATATAAAGAAAGAAATCAGAAGAGAATGCAACTAAAATATATTGTATACTGGAGCACACACCATATATATGTACATATACATATATACATACATACATGCATATATATAGATATAGAAAAGATAGAAACAATGGTTGAGTCTTATGAAAATATTAAAGCTCTGTGTAAATGTTGATGAGGGAGAGGAAAAACCTCATGGTGGCCACCAACATAAAATTTTAAAATCCATTTATAAATTCATACTGTATAAACCAAGTAATTAAAGATTATTTCTATTAAAGTGTTTTTAAAGAATATATTTATATAATATAAATATATACACTTCCAATTGAAATTACTGTGCCCAATTTTGTAGAAATGGTCTCTAGAATCTATCTTTAGCGATGTTCAGAATTTGTATTTTACAAAGGAGCTCTATGCTGGTCCATATTGGCAACTCATATGTAACTTATAGTTTTAGAGAATTGTCCAGAGCCCTGAAGGGTTTAATTACTCTCTCATAGTCATCAAACAGTTAGGACAAGTCAGAGCAGGTCTGGAACCTAGGTTTTCCCAATGCCAAAGATTTGCCCTCTATCTACCATGCCCTCTCTCTGCAGTGAGAGAGGTTAAAAATGATTATACCATTCTATAGTACCCCCTACAAAGATTTATGCATAAAATTAATGACATGTCCATAAAACATTCACAAGTGTGACCTCCTGTTTCCCATTTGAGAGTCATTTATGTTATGATGTGTATATTTGTGCAAGCCTTGTTAGGGTAGGGAATGCACCTCCCCCTAAAGGGTAATGATGATTTGTGTCCTTGAAAACATACAATAAATGCTAAAACTAGGCAGGGAATCTGGAATGACTTATAAAAATTATTATGCTATGAATGTTATTTACCTATAAGCTGATATCAAGGTAATCTTTTAAATATTAGGGACCTCACGATTGATAAGTTTCCAAAATTTCTCAGCACTTTCCTGGATTCAGCTGATAACATGAGATCATTCAAAGAAAATATTCTGAAAGATACTATGATTGTTATGTTTGGAATTCCTGGCATGGAAGTTTTATCTGCCATTTTAAATTGGTAATGGCTCTTTAATTTATAGTCGGAGAGTTTTGGGGGGATACTGAGAGGTTAAGTGACAAAACTGATAGGTGTCAAAGCTAAGTTTTGAACCTAGACTTCAAGGCCCATTTTCCATCCAGTATTAACATGCTGCCTACTGGGGAAATATCAGAATAGACCAATAATGATAAAGATTGCTATTGTTCATTATGTCTCATGTGATATTACTACTAAGTAGATATTGAACGTGCTGTTTAGCACACTTTTGCCTTTTTTTATGGGAAAAAATAAATAGATGCCTGAGTTCTTTGCACATAAATTTAAGAGACAATGCCAAGGAAACAGAAGTTTTCCCTTAGTTCAATTAAGATGAAGGAATTCAAGAGCTCATAAATCCTCGAAAACATTGGGAACTTCGGTTCCCTGAATGCTTCAGCTAATTAAAAGAATTTAGAGTCATTTCTCATATGAGAGAGGTCTTTTCCCACAGACTATGTGGAAGATTTGTGTAAGACCATTGGTTAAAACTCCCATGAGAAAGTCCTTGATTCTCCAAAAATATTAACCTTCAACCACTAAACTCTCGACTTTTAAATCCTGATGAATAGAAATATACCTTAGACTCAAATAATAGATATATTTAAGCTTTATAAAATAAAAAGTTCATAAATTGATATGATTAAACAGAAAAATTACAATTGATTTATTTTTCAGTTGTGTCTGACTCTCCATGACTCTATTTGGGATTTTCTTGGCAAAGGTACTGGAGTGGTTTGCCATATCTTTCTCCATCTAATTTTACAGATGAGGAACTGAGGCAAAGAGGGTTAACTGACTTGCCTAGGGTCGCATAGCTCATAAGTGTCTGAGGCCAGATTTGAACTTAAAAATATGAGTCTTTCTGACTGTAGCACTGTCACTCTATCCACCACGCCACCAACCTGTCTCCTTTAATTGATGGACTACCACTAATTTAAAAAAAAATTATCTTAATTCCTTTTCTCAAGTGAAGAATTATTTTGTACAATGGATAATCACCACTGTTTTTTTGAAAATCAAATAGAGGATTTTCTTAAATCACACTTCACTGGAATTCACTGTCCAAACCAAAATCAATGTATACTGGGCATATTCAGTAACAAGCAAAGCACTGGAATTAAAGAGTCAAATTTTATGGGTTTAATGCCCAACTCTGCCATTAAATATAATGTAATAATAATTCTGATTGTAATGAAGTAATACTAATAAAAGCAAACATTTATATAGTGCTTTCAGGTTTGCAAAGCACTTTATCAGCATTATCTCATTTTCTCCTCAACAACCAGGTATTTTATTATTCCCATTTTACAGATGAGAAAACTGAGGAAGACAGCATTAGGTGACTTGATCACTTAGTAAGGGTAGGGGACTGGCTTTGAACTCAAGCTTTCCTCTCTTCAGGTCAAGTGTTTCTGTCCATTGTATCACGCACTTGCTTCAAACTTCACTCTTCTGGGTCTGTAAGATGGGGATAATAAAATCTGCCCTGCTTATGGGAGAATTAAATTAGGTTTTATACAAAGTACTTTTTAATCATAAAATACTATATAAATGTGAGTTATTATTAATACTACCCAAATATTTTAGCTTCTAGGACTCTCATTTTTTTTTCAGAGAAGTGGAAGATTTTAGATTGAAAGGCAAGTCTAATAGGGTTGTTGAAAAGGAGGATCAAGTTTAATATTCAAAGCTAAATATTTCATAAGAAAATCAAGAATATTAGTAGCAGAATATAGAGGGCTTTTTCATGAATAAATTAAAGAGGAAACTTTGAATTATCTATTTATCTATCTATTTAATATTCACGTTCAAAGTAATCACCTACCAAACTTTGAGTTAAAACCTACTAGAAAAATGGCTCAAGGCATATTTCATTAATTTATACCTTGTATTCCAATTCTGCTCCTTAACAATCTAAAGTTCAAGTATCTTTTAATTAGGGGCTTAAGTTCAATCCCCCGTCTTTTAACATGTTAACATCAGTCCCATTTCCTTGTTTATTCACATGAACATTCAATACAAATTAATTAATTGATCAACAAGCATTCATTAAGCACCTACACTGGGGTAGGCAAGTGGTCCTGGGAATAAAAGAATGAAATACATGATCTTTATTCACAAGAAACTTACATTCCAATGGATGACACTAAATTTGTATCTCCATTTGGAAATTAGTTGGTTGAATGAAAATAAATAGCTGAAGATGAACTTCACCTTATATTATTGATCTATTCTTTCAAAGCTTATGTATTTTGATTTTTTTTCTAAATCAATTAATAGTTCAAAGACAATTAAGTAATAGGTGATCTCTTTAAGGAACCCCCTTTTAAAGGAATTCTTAAGAACAAAGGTCAACTCAACTTTAAGCGTAGGTATTAGCTAAAGCCAAATGGAACTGCAGTTATTTTTACTCTCATCTTTTTTATCCTTTAGTTTGGATAGATAATACTGATTTACTCACCCAGAATGAATTGGACTGGAAGAAAGAGCCACATTATCTAAATGGTCAGTACCCCAGCTGAGACGATAGGAAGTCCTTTCTGCCTCCTTGGCCAAAGTTGATACCTAGACACAAAGAACAACATCGAATAAAAATCCATACTTTCAGTTAAAAAATGAATTATAACTCATATGATTCTAATTAAATTAGTTATGTGATTATGTAAATCTAACATTTACATAGCAATATCCAGTGACAATTGGCTAGAAAATTCTTTCAGATTGGTAAGCCAATAAACAAACCAGAATGCGGATAGAGATACTAGGTTCAATTTAACAAGTATTTATTAAATGCTTACTATGAATAAGACTCTGTGCCAGGCTTTGAGGATTCATCTTTGATAGTCAACATAGCCGCTCCCCTATTAGAATTTATATCCAATTATTGGGCCATAAGAAATGATAAGAGAGATGGTTTTGGAGAAACCTTAGAAGACTTGTATGAACTGAGCAGAGATAGCTTCAGGGAGGAAGCTGAGAGCAGGAGACAAGGCTGTAAAGGTAGGCTGCAATGAGCATGGGAAGGATCTTGAATACCAAGACAAAGTACCAGTGTTTTATCTGGGAAGCAATGGGGAGTTATTAACATTTCTGAATGTAGAAGTGATGGAATCATATTTGTATGCTTGGAGTTTATATTTATGTGAAGGATGGGTTGGATAAGTAGAGGAAGGAGGCAGGAAGGCCCCTTGGGAAACCACCATAAGCCATTTCACAGGTGACAGAAAGGAGGAGACAGATACAAGAGTTATTACACAATTATAGCTTTAATTATGTTTCTCCATTTTGTAGAATTATGACAAAACAATAGGGACAGATTTACCTGTGGAGGTTTATAAAAATAAGACTAGCTCTGTTCTTGAATTCTAAAGTCATTCACACCAAAACCCAACTAAAACATCATCTCTTACTGGCAGGTTTCTCCCACCCCTCTTAATTTTAATGCCTTCCTTCTAGTAATTATTTCCAATTTATGCTATACATTAGCAGACATGGATTTATTTTCTTTGTTGTCTTCCCCCTTAGACTGTAAGCTTCTTGACGGCAGGGCCTGTCTTCTTATTTTTGTATCTTTGGTGCTTAGCACAATGCTTGCCATTTGGTAAATGTTTATTGATTGATTGATTACAGAAATAGCCAAAAGAGATTTGCAATCTCTTATGGTACCCCTTTTCTAGTATCTTAAAGTATAGATTTATGGAGACTTACCCTAATCTAAATTGATTATTCCTCCTCTTCATCTGACCAGAAGATGAAGAAGTGAGGATTTTCTTACTAAACAAGACAGCCACTGGTTCTCCATATCTTTGTAATAATGCAATGTAACTGAACATGGTTAAGAATGCTTTTAGTAGTCTAACTTAATCAAAACTCCCTGTTCAGTTGAAAATATATATGAAAAAAATGCACATTTTTTTAATAATTTGTGTAGTTGTAAGAACTAGAAAGGACTTTCATAATCATCTATTCCATTTAGCGATATGTCAGAGTCAGTTTAAAATCAGCTTAGGAGAGCTGACTTAAATTTTCAGTGTGTGCATTTCCACTTTGAAAGTCAGCCAATGCTACAAATCAGGATTTGGTTTATTGTTTTGCTAATTGTGTAGATACAAGAAAGTGATGGAGAAAATGTTAATAATGCAGATTAAACTTGTCACATATATATTTTCCAACTCCTTTATTTTACAAATGAGAAAACTGAGGCCTAGAGAAATCAAGTGATTTGTCCAAGGTCAGACAGTTAGTAGCAGAGCTGGGACATGAATCCATCTTTCCTGATTAATCTCTGCTCCAAATTCATAGATATTGGCTTGTTGCTTTGCCAAATAAATTTCAGTTAATGTATTATTTATAAAATGATTAAAACTCTTCTTCAGTATATTTCTATTAATAAACAACATGCAAACACAGATGCTTACCAGTGAGTAATGAAATAAAAGGAAAAAAAAACCTGCACATACCTGGTGGCTGGGGATCACAACTGTCTCATCAATCATGGCGCTATCCCTCAGGTAGGAGGCATGGCTCAGGGTGTGGGACCTGTCTGAACTGAAGGATCGAAGGCTGGTAGGTTGGCAGGAAGTCATTGCCACAAGTCAGCAGCAGTGGCAGTTTTGTAAGGATGAGATGGTAGGCAGAGCAAGGAGAGTGGGAAAAAAAGCATGCAATTAGCTGACAATGCAACTTCCAGGAGGCAGGAGGGGCATAAAAAGTGACCGTGGAAGGAGAAAAAAAACTTACAATTGTGACACTAACTTTTGCTTTTTTCAGAGCTGAACCAAAACATCTCTTGACTAGCCACTATCATTCAATGGAAAAAGTAGGAGAGAATCCAAGTTAAAACTTGGTCCTCAATCAGATTCATTTTTTTGCCTAGAAATGCTTGAAACCAGACACTTGGTTTTGTTTGCTACCCATACAAGGAACACAAAAAATGGGAAGCACTCCTCTATGGACTCCTGAAAGAGGTTATGGTGTTAATCTCACTGCAATTTACAGGAGAAAAAAAAAATGTTAGGACCGAAGCAGATATTCCTCTGGAGAAGAGGCCAAAGTGAAAGTCAAGTTTCTAAACACGTTTCATTTTCACTCATTCTGTCACTCTTTCTGAACCTATGAATGGTTTGAAGCTGGTGCCTGTTCTCTCCTGGAAGGTACACAGTGGTGAATTCTGGCCAGCTGCATGCTTCCTGCGGAAATGGAGTTTTTTCTTGTGGGTTTCCAGCCATTTAAAAAGAAAAGCCCTGTTCTTTTTGTATGCACTGTTTGTGTTGACCATAATAATGCCAGTAGCTGAAGCAATCAGAGACAGAAGAGCACACGAAGCGACTTCTGAGCTCGGGATCACAGACATGACATCTGCCAGCTCATACTGAAAACAATCAAATACCTATGGCTATCGAGCAAGAATGGGGCTTGACTGCAGAATGGACTTTCAAGATTTGAATAATAAATGTTTTCAATTTTTAATAAGCCTAGAATTACTTATTATATATATATAATATATATATGTATATGTGTGTGTGTGTGTGTGTGTGTGTGTGTGTGTGTGTGTGTGTGTGTGTGGTAAGCAAAGTTGTAATTCATCTCTTCTCTACCATCGTGTGTGGTCTAATACATTTTAACTAGAAGTGAAAGGAAAATCACATTTTATGCATATTCTATCAGTTAGCACAAAAAACTCAGTTTAAAGGTCAGGGGAAAGGGCATGGATTCACAATATCTGCACATCTATTTTGGGAAGATGGAGGGCATGGAAGGACAGGAACTACAATTTCACTAGTGCAGGGAATTCTCAATAAGGAAACTCCCTCTATCAGTGCAGATCAAGAACTGTTCTGTAACTTACAGTATAAAAGTGTTCTCTGGGGGCAGAGAGAAATTAAGGGATTTGCCTACAGTTGCCAAACTAGTATGTATCAGAGGAAAGAACTAAGGAAGGATTTGACCTCAGCTCTCTCTGACCCTGAAGCTAGGTATCTATCTACTAGTCACTGATGCCTCAATTTACTTTGAACCACCTCAATTTACTTTGAACTGCCTCAATTTACTTTGAACAGTGGGCATTATTTCATTACCAGCAGTGCTTGGAATTAAACAGCACATGCTAAATAGCACGCTTCTTAGAAAGTATGGCATCTCACAATGAGAATACTACATCCATATACGTGTGACACCTATTTATGTGCACCTTTTTTTAAGGTTCTCTAACAAACAGAGTCAACTCACAGTTAACAATATTGTTAATAATTTAGCAAAAACCAATGGTGATCTGAAGCCTCCTTCCATATTTCTCATCTAGGCTCTGGCCCAATCAGTAATGATGAACTTGATCTTAAAGCTAGTTGGAACATGACAGTATCTGACTCAATGGGCATATATGAATTTCATGCTAAATCTAAACATAAATATATTAGGAATTGTCTGCTGTTTTGTATTATCCTTCCTATGTTTTTGTTGTTATTTTCAGTCACTTCAATCATGTCTGACTCTTTGTGACCTCATTTTGGATTTTCTTCGCAGAGAACTACTGGAGTGATTTGCCATTTCCTTCTCCGGCTCATTTTACAGATGAAGAAACTGGGGCAAACAGGGTTAAGTGACTTGTCCAGGATCACACAGCTAATAAGTATCTGAGGTCATATTTTAACTCTGGTATGCCTTACTCCAGGCCCAACATTCTATCCACTGTACCACCTTTATTAGCATTGATAATTAGTATTTGACTTTGTGTATAAAAAACAAAAAGATGAACAATCACTCAGATTGTATGTGCTTAAATGTGAATGGCAAAATATATTATTTGTGCTGCGAACTGATAACATTTTAGCAGCAGATAATCAAGTTAAAGCACATAAATGTCATCCATTCCTGTCCTTAAAATTAAGGAGCAGTTAAAGACCCCATTCTTTGTGACTAGCCTTGCTTTTCCTTAATATTTTAAATCAGAGGTGGGGAACCATTTTTTTCTCAAGTAGTACTAACCCATAGGAAAAATTTAATTTAAAGGCACACAGATATTTAATCTTAGATGTGTTTTTTTTCCTTGAGAAATACCTCAAAGTCAAACATTTAATTTAGAAATTAAGAACAGAGAGCATATAACTTCATTTTCGTTCATACAATTAATTGTATATCATATTATGTCACATTATTATAAGTCATATTTATTATTTGACATGTTTTGTGTCATATAATATAATTATAATAATATTTTAAAGTATATTTTAAAATACATCTCTTCAATGTCATTTCTAGGTTAGGGATAGAGAGAGGTGGGAAGAAAGAAGAAAGAAAGGGGAAGAAGTGGGAGGAAAGGAGACATAAATAGAAAAGGAAGGGAGAGATAAAGACAACCATAGAGAGGACGTGGGAGGAGAAGACTGAGAAAGAAGACAGAAACAAAAGTGGAAATAAAAGAAGAGGAAGTGTCATAGCTAGGGAAAGTAGAAGAAGAACTATTCAGGAAGAGAAAGAAAGGAAGAGAGGCTGAGTAGGTTTTTGAAAGAAGTGGTCTGGACACACTCTCCAGTCACCAGAGATTCCGTTCTGAATAGGCTTCTGGAGGGCAGCCACAGAAACTGAATGTCCTAAGTCTCTGGGCCAGAGGTTCCCTACTCCTGCTTTAAATACTGAGTTAGTTCACAGAACATGCAATGTTTTACAACACTTTGCAAGGGGAAGACCACTTTCTATGCAAGTCACAATTCCTGATGTTCAGTTAACAGCCTGATGAAAATAACAAAAACATATGAAATACTAAAGGATCACTGGTCTTCCAGGTCATACATGTCCGTCTAGGTTTTGGAGAGTTTTTGGCTGTATATATCAACACAATGCCTGAAACTGACAGTAATGACTGGTAAAGATGTCCACAATGATTAAACAATTGAGGAAGATGGGCATCATTTAGGAATTAAGCATTTTTCAAAGAACCGTTTATGCTTTAGACCCACATAGAAAATATTTAGGGCAAAATGTTTCCTCATTTTGCATCCACTTCTTCCACTGTCTATACAAATAATGACTTTTTTGTCATCTACTGCTTAAATTGGGATCATGGTAAAAGCTGGTTGCCAGCAAGTCTCCAAGGCTATTAAACTATATGCTTTATAGAGATCCTATTTTTTTTCTTTTCTGGATGTATGCATTGACAACACTTTGTTCCTTTCTCTTGGATAGCAAGCTTGTTTAATTTCAACCACAAGGTGGCGGTGTAAGAATGGCACTCAAAGGCTCTCTGACAGAATCCTGCCTCTGGGATCTTATTACACTCACGTCTTTCTAAATGATTTCTTTCCTGAATTTGTAATGTTGGCTGTTATCAGCTGAATGCATACTTTTGAATACATTAAAAAATCCTAATCCTTAAGACAAATCGACAGTTCCAGGATACAAGCCACATCATTTGATCAGCAGGTTCACAAAGCAAATAAGCAATGGTGTAGCAAGGTAGCATCTGGGGAGATGATGTTTTCATGCCATGTAATACCTACCTGGGTATGTTGCTATTGAAAGCATACCCCCCAAGAAAAAAAGACAAATAAAAGGAAAAAAAGAAACGGAAGGGGGAGAGAAATAATGAAAGAGAAAAAATGGTTACCTTCCTAAACACAGTGAAAAAAAGAAAAAAAAACCATGACAGTGAGACTCTTCCTTTAACTCCCTCTCTGGAGTCCCTGATACATTAGCATTCTAGAAATTACAGCGTGGGTTGCAAAGAAGCTCTGTTTTGTTCCTCCCTTTCCTTTACCATATTGCTGTCTGACAGGTGTTCAATTTAAACAGACACATCAAACCATTCTTTCCCGTTTTACAGATGGTTTCTAAATCCATTATTCTAAATCCATTCTCACCTAAGTACTCTTAAAGGAAAAAAAAGCAACAGATCAATCATTCATTCTTGCAAAGAGCCCAAGGTGAAGGTGCTTCAGTTGTTGGAAGTGTAATTGTCTACTCCACAAGGACAGCATAATCAAATACCAACATCTGCTTGTTAGTAGATTTTAAAATCTTATTTAAAAAAGTAAAAGGATAGATCAGAGGTGTCAAAGTAAAAACTGGGTTAGTACCCAATGGTATAACCCAAACTCTGCAAGCACTTTGCCATTTAGAACTGGACTCTGTTACATACTATACATAAAATTCTTGATTAAATATACTGAACAAGCTATAAACCTGAGACTAACATTAGTACTTAGCAATATTCACTGCTCTGCACTGATAATAACAGATTACAGATGCGTTAGCAGATACATTTTTGATCACTTATCAGGATAATGTTCTTCCTTGATATCTCAAATCATAATAAACTCCAATTATTTCAGTTGGTATACCAAAAGATATCATTTACATAAGTTTGTATGTGTACATACATACACACACACACACACACACACACTCTGATATAGAGATCTTTATCTATACGTTTCTCCCTTTTTATACTTATACATATAGATAGGCATCTTTCCATTGGCATATAAAATCTAAGAGGTCCCAAGTTTTACCTGATTCATGCATCAAGGTTAGGCTCCTCTGGAATTGGTGTTCTGGTTTCCCAACTGGGGAAAGCTACTTTCAATCACTAATTTGCTTCTAGAATTTATTTTTTTTCCTGATGATTTCCCTTTAGAATATAGTTATCATAAAAGAGATCATGATATTAACAAAAACCCAAGGAAATTAAAGCTAACAAATGTCAACATGTAATAATGGCCAATGGCCCTCCAAAATTCATTTTATTTTGCTAAGGGAAAGAGTAACAGAAAATGAGGAAAACCTTCCAGGCAGCATATTAGTTGACAACCAGTGTTATCAGTTATCATCTGAGCACTTGCATTAGACATTGTAAATAGGTGCTTTAGGGAAATACCTGTCCGATCGTCCTCCCTCTAAGCTGTATCTCAGGTAACTCATTCCATCAAGGAATTGGCTGCTGGGCAGGGAGTCATCACCTAGTTCTTTCAAATCTTCAGGTCTCAAATACTCCCCGCCATCACCTGTCATGGTATCCTCACCTTGAAACAATTAAGCAAAAACAGGACTCATATTTATTGTTGAATGACTAGTCAACAGAACAGATGATAATATGCCAGCTGGATTGACAGTGTAAGAGTGTCAGGACATTTCTACCAATGCAACACTGCACACCAGGAAAGAAAAAAACACAACACACTCATACATGCACATACACACACACACACACGCACTTAAAACTTTTCTATAGACCTGTTCCTCTTATTCTATTTCTGTTGGTGGTACCACCATTTATCCCATCTACCATTGCTAAGAAGCCAGAGGTTATCTTTAATTCATTGCTTTTCCTCACTTCTCATATCCAGCAGGTTGCCACACCCTATCAATTCCCTGTACCATTTCTCTACCACCAAGGTAGGTAACATCATGTCCACTTTACAATTGAGGAAACTGAGAAATACAGAGTTTAAGTGACTTTCTCATGGTCACAAAGCTACAAAATGTCTGAGGTCACACTGAAACTCAGGACTTCATAACTTCAGGCCTAGCACTCCAACATTGTGCTACCAAGTGTCTCTATTCGAGAATGACAAAGTAGGTCCTCTACTACTGGGTAATTTTTCCAGAATTCATCAACTGGATGGTTATATACAGAACTCATAAGCATTAAACTTGTAGAAGCCAATGGAAATGGCCAAAGAGACTAAGCCATCAAAAGACAAAGGAATTGAAAGCAACCTACTAGTAACTGTCTATATCAACAACTGTAATTGATGGATGAAGATCACGGCATGTTCGATAGGGCTACAGAGTCTAGAATCACGTAGTCATGCTACTGTGTAAGGCCATCAGCCAACTGCAGATAGCCACAGCCTTCTGTGCTTGCAACAGAAGGGACATGAACCTAATGACTTTAGTTCAGAATCTATTTTAGGAATATTAGTTCTCCTCTAATTGGATAAAACCAATACTGTTTCTCTTTTCTCTTTTGGGAATGGATGGGATTAGGAGGTTAGCCAAGCTAAGGGGGGGGGCAGTGGTGGTGCTAATATTTCCTAACATTCAAAAAATTAGTATTAAAAATCACCTCCAAAATTAAATTACCCAAAAAAACCCAAAATATTTTCTTTACTGTTTCCTAAAAAGAAATTCAGATATGAATTTCTGCCACGGTGACAATAAAGGTATGAAATTGATTCCTTGTACACTCTATTGAAATTAGTTTCTTATGTTACAGGTAGACTTCTTATCTTCTATTTCCATCTATATATTGTTTTCTTTTTTAAACTTCTAAGAGTTCCTTTAAAATGAGATTTTTTTTAAAAGCACCTTTTTCTACTTCTGGCATTTTGTAACATCAGACTCTTTTCCCACAGCTTAGCCACAACTTGGTTTTCCAGGCACATCCCCCATCACTCCCTAGTCATTCATATACTCACTACGTTTTAGCCAAACTAGCGTACTCATTATTCAGGAAATGTGGTCCAATTGGAGCTATTTCCCCTATCTCCCTCTCCTCATCAGTTCTTCATGTCTTGTCCTTATGTACCCTTTAAAACCCAATTCAAGTGCTACCTCCTCAATTAAACTTTCGTAAACTCTCCAGTCAAAAGTACATCTTTCTTTTGAAATTTTTATTTTTTTCACTGCACTGATACCTTTTATGATAGTTATTTGTATTCACGTCTTAATAACCATAACATTTTATTCTTCCATTTATAACCCTCCCAACATCTATAATAACAATGTATGGTTATATTGTGACTTACGATTTACAAACTGCTTTATATACATTATCTCATCTGATCCCCACAGCGTCTCTGTGAGGCATCATTACTTATTTTCCAGATGAAGAAACCAAGGCTCAGACAGGTTAAGTGTTTTGCCTATGAGCTCACAGTGCATAGGTATGTAAGATGGGTTTTAAACCAAGATATCATTACCGAAATCCAGTCACAACACTACTACCCACTCATCTTATGGAACTCTTATTTATAGTCATTCATAAGTCTTAACAAGGGATGTACCCAATATGCTGGGCAGTTTTCTCCAGATCTCATGACTTGGTACCAGTACTTACAAGGGTACACAGAATTTCCCTCTCACTTTTAATGATGCTTCACCCATCTTATCTATCAAATGCACCCATTCTCCATGACATCTTTCATGGTGATTGTGGTGCACTTTTGGCCATTTGTGGCTGCTTACTCATCTCTCCATTGCCCTTTGGGTGACCCACATGTCTAACTCCTGGGATATTGTTTTATTTTATGTCTGATCATCAAATGAGAAAAATGATCAACACTCATCCCTTTCAACAACTGTCTCTTTTAGTATTAGCAAATCAAGGGACTTTTAAAAATCACCAAAACAGCTTGTGATGGTCAAACTAATTGTTTACATCTGTAGTGACACATGATAACTTTGCTTTGCTACTGTGTCACCTGTCTGATAAGTTACAGATAATTCCAAGAGACTGAGTGAGCACAGTTCCTCATTTCACACTCTTCTTTTAAGAGAATGAAATACCAGACATCAAGGAAAGGATTATTCAATTGTCAAATGATAGAGAAAAACCACCATCCACATCTCTGCTACTACATTTCCCTTGATAAGCTTGTCATTCAAAAACTCTGCATCTTGTGGGCATCAAACTTTATTAGGCATTGGATGAAAGGGGAAACAAAGATGATATATTCCCTACCTCCTTCAATAGCTGTAAAAGTCAGGTAGGGAAAGAAACAGATAAAACGAATTCACATATAGCAGACTAAGAGTAGAAGAGAAAGAGAGGGAGAGGGAGAGGGAGAGGGAGAGAAGGAGGGAGAGAAGGAGAGAGAGAGGGGAGAGAGAGAGAGAGAGAGAGAGAGAGAGAGAGAGAGAGAGAGAGAGAGAGAGAGAGAGAGAGAGGGAGGGAGGGAGGGAGGGAGGGAGGGAGGGAGGAGGAGGAGGGAAGAGAGAGGGAGGGAGGAGGGAGGAGGAGGAGGGAGAGGAGGAGGAGGGAGGGAGGGAGGAGGAGGAGAGAGAGAGAGAGAGAGAGAGAGGAGAGAGAGAGAGAGAGAGAGAGAGAGAGAGAGAGAGAGAGAGAGAGAGAGAGAGAATATGTGTGTGTGTGTCTGTACATACCCACACAAGCATGTACAGAGAGGCAAGCCCTTGCATGGGATCCATATTAAGATGCTCATAATTTGTGGCATAATCAGCTTTTTGAGAAAGTCGTTCATGAAAGCTATCAATTAACTGAGACTTTACAACCTTATTTAGAATTTAGAAGTATAAGAAGAGAACTATCAAATGTTCTTCAAATAAAACACTTGACTTCAGGATCCAATTAAATCCCAATTCACTCCACTTTTTGTTGTTGCTGAGTTATTTTCCAGCCATGTCTGATTCTTCTTGACCGCTTTCGGGGTTTTCTTGGCAAAGACACTGAAGTGGTTTGCATTTCTTTCTCCAGCTCATTTTACAGAGGAAACTGAGGCAAAGAGGGTTAAGTGACTTGCACAGAGTTACACAGCTAAGAAGTGTGAGGCCAGATTTGAACTCAGGAAGACTCTTCTTGACTCCAAGCCCCGTACTCTATGTACTGTGCCCCCTACCTGCCCCTCTACTTCATTTTTAGGAAATGTTATAAATAACTTCCATTCTCACACTACTGGGAACATCTCAGAGTTCTGTGCAACTGTTTGATGGGGTAAGTGTTTGATTCTGAAGCTATTTCCAGTAACTTCAAAAACAAATTAAGTGAGCGAAGTACTCAACTCATTAACTCACATCAGGACAGGATTCCAGCCCTAGCTCTTGTCTGTCAATGAATTAATTGTGTGACCTTGGGCAAGTCAATTAGCCTATGGACTTCATTTCTTCATCTGTAAAATGAGGAAGTAGGATGAGATGATTTCTAAGGGTCCTTTCAGCTTTAACAGTTTTATGCATCACTGTTACACATAACAAAACCATTACAAACTGCTGTTTTTTTGGACTTGGTTTTGTAACAATTCCCTTTCCCACACAAATCCCATGTAATTTTGAAATGGACAAGACATTTAATATTGTACAGTAATGCTATTAAAATTAGCATTACTACATAAGAGATGGAAAGCTGGTTTAATTCACTTAATAGCACAGCTGTAGGAAGTTATAAAGGGACCTTTATAAAGGGGAGGCTGAGGATTTCAGGAACCGCTAACCTAATTTCAATAATTCAAATTTATACAATTACTTGCATTTTTCATGAAGAGTTCCAATACAATGACTGATTAGGAGCCACAGGACCTAAGCTTGTACATTGCCTCAGACATTTCCCAGTGTGGGACCTAGGACAAGTCACTTAACCTTTCCCATCCTCAGTTTCCCGTAAAATATAAAATTGGAAACAATAATAGAACCTATCTCACAGGTTTTGGGGAGAGTCAAGTAGAAATAATGTGTATATTTAGTGTGTTTTTCAAACCTATAAAGTTTATAATTATTATTATTAATGAATATGAAATCATTGTACACACACATTTGTGTGTGTGTGTGTGTGTGTGTGTGTGTGTGTGTGTGTGTGGATGTGTGGATAGATGGATAGATAGATAGATAGATAGATAGATAGATAGATAGATAGATAGATAGATAGACAGACATAGATATTAAGGCAATTGGGGTTAAGTGACTTGCCCAGGGTCACACAGCTAGTAGGTGTAAAGCGTTTGCTCTGAGGCCAGATTTGAACTCAGGTGCTCCTGACTCCAGGGCCGCTGCTCTATCCACTGTGCCCCCTAGCTGTCCCCATTATACGCATATTGACCAAGGAAGGCTAAAGTAATGGGCACCATTGTGTTCATTAGAGATGTTTCAAAATTTAGCACTTATCCTCTCTTAGCAACCTGGATTTCACATTTGTTTGCTATATCTACACGAGTACTTCAACCAATTCCAAGAAAGGTTTTTGATGTTTTTTTTTCTTATAGATTTGCTACTTAAAAATAAGAATTACAGGACAGAAGTGCCTTCTGAGCTTATTTTAACTAGGAATAGCATAATAAATGGAGGAAGT